ATTACTGAATGTAATTGACATAAAGTTTTGCTTTTTTTCCACATGCAAAAAATGGGCACATTTGGAAAGAGAGACTAAAAACACAAAACACAGAAATAAAGTAAAAGAACAGAAACGAAACGGAACAGAAAATCCACTGAAGTAATTGTTTAGAGAAGAGTTAAAGGTTCATGTTTTGTTAGGGTAATTTCCTGAAAGCTCATACAACAAACATACCGACACACACACACTCATATGCTGCCACATTAATGTTCAGCAATGAAAGAAGGTTAAAAGGCAACAGGGAGGAAGGGAATAGCAAAGTCATTGGTCTCATTTTTGTTTGTTGGTAATGACAAAATGCGGTTATAATTTGTTTCAATGACTTTAAATGAATGCAAACAGGATTACAGATGGTTGGTATGTGTTTTAGTTTTTTTTTTTCAAATCCTATCATGCTGCAACAAACCGGAAGCAATTTTGTGTAAAAAAGAAAAAAACTCGAATGTTTTTGAAAACTACAAATATGCCCAAAATGAAGTGTATTTAATAATAAAGGAAAAACTTTTAATATTCGAAATTTAAAATACTTGTCTAGCAATAATGAACTTTGAACTGAACATATATGAATGAAGAGAAGTGGTATAGGGGAATTTTAAATTTGAGTGGGGAATTGTAATATACATATAGGGGAGTTGCAATACATACGTTTTTGACATTGTGCAATTTATTATAGGAGGAAATAAAACGTCGTAGATTTTTCAAGGAGGATGTGAGTATGTATGAGTAGGTCCTTCATGTTTATACCCTACACAACTATATTGTCAGGGTATTATAGGTTTGTGCAGCCATATCTTGACTAGCTGAGTCGATCTAGACATGTGTGTCCGTCCGTCCGTCTGTCCATTATAATTTGTAAACACGATACAGGCCACAGTTATGGACCAATCTTCACGAAATTTTGCATGTAGGATGGGTTCTGGCCAATGAAGACCCCTATTGTTTTTGGTAGAGATCGTTTAATATTTAGGGGATGAAATGGGCCAAAAACTTTATTTTTGTCTGATATTCTGGTCGCTCTAGAGGCCGCAATTATGGCCCAATCACCGCGAATTTCTACATGGAGAAGGGGATTGGGCCAAAGAATAAGCATGCCTGTTTTGATAAAGATCGATCAATATTTAGCGGGTCAAATGGACCCTTAATTTTTTTGTGGAAAATGACAACATTTGTATTCTATTGCTTATATATTTAATCCTGAATGACATAGAGCCGAGAAGTTGATAGTATATCCAAGAGGCGTGGTTGACCTTTAAATTGATACCAATTATATTGTCGTATGTACTCGGATGCGGGAGTTACATTTAAATATTAACAGGTGCTTACGTACTCAGATATTATTTAGTAACACATTACCATACTGGAGGCGGAAATACAGCGCGGATCGCTTTGAAAATTTCCATGAGGATCCAGGAATGGTCAAGAATAACGCCTATAATTTTCGGTGATGATCACATAATAATATTGGGATGAAGTGGACCGAAAACTTAATTTTTTGTGTTTATTCTATTCCATATATAGTCCACAATTGAAAGTCGAACATCATAACACAACCCACCGTGAAGGGAAACTGGACAAGTAATTAGAAAGGATTTACTGAATATTAGTAATCTAGTCGGTCAAGAGGGTGTAAATATAGCGAAATATTTTCCATGCTCAATATATATAAACACAGAATGTTAGATTTTCGTGGAAGTTGTGTAGGGTATCATATGGTCGGCCCCGTCCGACTATACTGCTCCGCTCACTGGTTTAAAAATAATTTTCCAAATTACAGATACTAAGGTTGGCAAACTGTGATAACTCATTTGGGTGTAGTGAGTTTAAATGGGTATACATAACGTCCTGTTCAAATACTTCTAAAATTCTAGGTCCACTTATTTAAAGATCCATAATTTGAGGGCCTTACTCATAATATGACGTAATAGTAAACCATTTCCTACACTTGCATAAATGTTCTCTCTCTTTTATTACAATGATATCATGTTCCACTTTTGTGGGTCTCGGCTCGGATATTAAATCTGTAAAATTTTCCTGCCTGTCCAACATAAATCCGTTAAATTCCTTTCAAAACCCCCTGAGAAGAAAATTTACTGCCGCCAGAAATAGATTTACTTCCTTACTATAATAATCCGTAGTGTATTGCTGTTGGTTGCAGCAGTATGCGTTATATTTTTTAATAACACACATTGCTGAAGTCTTGCATGCGGAAGAATACAAACAACAACAATTGAAAACCATCATATATAAAATAGGGTTGACATACAGATATAAAATCATGAAACAATGCAAATTCGGTAGTCGATATACAATTTATATGAAAATTGGACGGGAAACGGGTTTAAATTGAACTAAATACTTGTAATTCTGGACTTAATTCCGTGACAAAATATACATGTGATTTATGTCTAAATCTCAAGAATTTCAAAGGGGGTTTGTTCTTAGATTGAATATATATGAGAATTATTTATAATGTGAACCGTTCTATATCGAACTAAGTAAATTTTCGTATGGACTCAATTCTCCAACTGACATACTTAATGTCTTTGGCGCATCATTTTCATGAAATCGGACGAAGACATATATCTTTGAGCTTTCAAAATCTCACCAATTTCAGAACGGTTCTTCATCGGGGTTAAATAATGAGCTGTACCAAGTTTCATCACCATCGAAAACGCTTTGCCATGATCAATAAGACATAATAAGACATTCAAAATGATATATTTTGAGAATAATATTGAAAATGTTCTCTTGTTTTATAGAAGAACTGGAATTCTTCTACTTATAGAAGTGTTAAAGGTCTTCATGAATAACAGCTGGAGGGTTTCCACTTATTGAAGAGCTGGAGGATTTCTTCTCATAAAAGAGCTGGAAGCCTTCTTCTTATAGAAGAGCTGGAGATCTTCTTCTTATAGAAGATGTGAAGGTCTTCTCTAATAGATGAGCTGGAAGTCTTCTTTTTATTGAAGATTTTGCTTGGAAAGTGCGCCTAAGACCATCAAAATGCCTTAATATAGGTCCATATATTGGAAATTTATCGCTATGCCGATGGTTATCGGAATTGTTACATTATAGTGGGTCTCTTTTCTGTGAACACGCTTTGGGAGTGGTAGCAATGTATGTGCAAATTTTTATAGCTCTATCTTAAATATTTCGATATCCACGATAGACACTTTGATGGCAACTTTCCAACTGTCGCAACTGTTGAGGAACTTATTAAATTGGGTTATGCCAAAATGACGACTACTGAGATTTTTTCAGATTTATTTCACCCTCTAAGAATCTAAATTCCATTCCAAAGAACCCTGAATGCCAACTTATAGCCACTTTATTGTGAAAATTTGCATACACCAGGATATTTAAATAATGGCTTCGTCAAAACGTGGGCCTATATCGAAATATACAAAGTTGGCATTCCTATCTTGTTTTGTTGCCATTTTAAAGGTAACTTCATAATGCCTCTCTTATAGAAGTTCTGATCTCTATTTGCAAAAAACTCTTGTAGTCGATTTTCACAATCCTACCTAGATACCAATTTTTTATCAATAAAGAAATTTTGCAATGCAAGGAGAATATGATAATCGCTTGGTGCCAAGTCCGGATGCATTAAAACTTCCCAACCAAGCTCCCGAAGCCTAACGTTGTCCTGGTGGAACACGACACCTATCTTCAAACATTTCAGATCTTGACAGTAGAGATCAGAATTTAGCATTTGGCTATATGGAAGCAAAATATAATAAATAATCCCCTTCCAGTCCCACCAAATGCATAGCAGAACCATTCTGGCCGTTAGACCTGGCTTGGCCACCCTCTGAGGTACTTCGCCGCTCATTGATCACGATAGGTTTTCGCACAGAAAGACCCTTTTAAAAATGGGTCTTTCTCATTCCGTTTGGCCAAGGCTTCGCAGATGGAAATTCGGTCCATCCAAATTTTTCTTTTAATTGGTGTGGCACCCAAACACCGAGTTTCGTTTTTAATCCAGCTTTATGTAAATGGTTTAAAAGAGTTTTATGGTAGATTTTTAGCTCCTGCTAACATGTCGGTCAACATCGACCATTTCTCTGATTTCATCGACATTTCCATAGTGGATTTCTTTTTCCCCAACCTAATATATTCGGAGTGTCAACATACAGTTATTTCATTTTATATGTGGCATATGTCGAAACGTGGACCTTTGATATTTTTCTTCATAGAAATATGTCGGCGTAAATAAACCCGGAGTGCCAAATAACATCTACTTCGAGAAAATGTGGATAGAACTTTTAAAACATTGGTGATAAAATTTTTGGATCTATACGAAAAAGTGTAACGCTAAAATACAATGAAATACCACCGAATACCGAAATACAAATGTACAAAATACCTTTACTTGATATCTAAATCAAAACGTGGACCGATACAACCCATTTGCAATACTAAACATCGTAGGAGTAATATAAATATCCATGAAAAAGTTCAAAGCTATTGCATTCTTTATAGAGATTTCTACAGAAGGACACGGCTGGAATTGTTAGCGGTATCTCCAACACGGTACTTTAATGGGTACTCCACCCTATGACAGAGGATATAAAAGCCAATCTCGAGAATGTACGATTAAAAAATGACCAAGTCTGCCACAATTCCCTTACTTATATTGTACCCAATAATTCCCAAATATATTTATAAAAATTCTCCACATCGACAACCCTACTACACATCTCGCCCCATCCTCCCACTCGTTTTGGTAGTTGATAGCTGTTTTGTTTAGTTGCATACGCACCCAGACAAACCAACATACCCAGCCATATCACAATGGTGATGATGATAATCATAATGATGACGATGATGAGTAGCAAGAAAGGATACAAGAACAACAACAGAAAAATGTAACAACAATAACATGATGGTAAAAACTACAACATGAACTACACCAACAACAACATCATCATCATCGTCAAAAGTAATGTACTCTCACTTACCATTTGGATATTGCAGCGACATGATGAACACAAAGCCAAACATCAGGGCACGCAACATAGATTCCATTTGCATGACATGGTTGAGTCGTAGTCGTCGTTGTCGCAACGGAAAACGTTCGAGAGGAAGAAGAAGCAGAAGAAGAAGAGCTTTGATGCAATCTGCTGCTGTTGTTGTTGTTGCTGTTGCTGCTGCTGTGTTGGTGGAGGCTGTGATAGTTGCTGGTTCTGTAGTTGGATTGATGATGATGTTTGTGTTGCATTTGCTATTGTTTTTGTTGCTGTTGTTGATATCTGTGATGATAATGCTGCTACTGGTGATGGTGGTGGTCGTGTCGGTAGATGTAGTGGTTATATTGGCGGTGTTGTTGTTTATTTGGGGCACTGTGCTGTGAATGCTGCTGGTGCAGCGACTAATGTTCGCACTTTTGCATTTATGGGTCTGTGTATGTGTATGCATAACATGTGAATGTTGTTGCTGCTGTTGTTCCCCTTCCTGTTGTTCATTTTGTTGCAGTTTTTGTTGTTGCTGATGTGCTGCACATTTTTGCTTTGGGCTGCCTTTTGAACTAAAGCAAACATTGTACCATTGTGTTTTATTCTTCGAATTTTCCACATCCTTTGCTGATGCTTTTGTCGTTTGTATTATTGCTGTTGCTGCTGCAGCTACTACTGACGATGTTGCTGCTATTGTTGATGTTTTTGTGGATGTTTCTGTGGATGTTGCTACCGCTACTTTTGTGGGTAGTTGTTGAGCTGCCATAGTTGCATTAGCTTGAGTGCCAGCTGGGTCAGTAGTGCTAATATTTGGCTGTTGCTCTTCTAACGTTGAACATACACTGCTTTTGTTGTTGTTGTTTTTAGTGTTGTTGCTTTTGTCGTTTGAGCAATTTTCGGTTTTTTGATGTTGATGCTGGTAGTGGTACTGTTGCTGTTTAGTGTATTGTAGCTGCAACTTGTTTTGCTTATTGTTGATTCTTTTTGTCGTTTTTGGTTTTGTCGGTGTTGCTGGTGCAGGCTCAGATATGCTTTCACAATCCTCTTTTAAGGTCATGTGTGTTGTTTGTTTTGCAGCCTGACGAGCCATTGAAACTTCCTGATTTGGAATTTCACTATGAATTGTTGTTGTAGTTGTTGTAAATTTATCAGTAGTTTCTGTTTCCATATGCGCTTTGGAGGACATTATCATCATCAACGTCGTGGTGCTACTACTGTTTGTAGTCGTCGTTTTTGCCATCGCCTGTGATTCTCTGTTTAGTTTTTATTGAATTTGTGCCGTTTGTTGTTGGATTCTACTCCAATACTATTGGCTGGTGGTAGATAGAATAGCCGATTTTTTTGGTTAAATTCCTTTTGTTCCTGTTGTAGGTTTTTTTCGGCTGCTGTTCAATATGCTCTTTGTTTCAAAAATCATGAGTTAACATTTTTGCGAGTCTATTTTCATGTCTAAACGTTTTCGTTTACATAACAGGATCTTACCAACACAAACATTTTCACTTTAAATTTTGTTTTTAGGTGGGAGTAAAATATTCGCTTAAATTTCTTGATTTCTATTACATAATAGTAAAATCAATTTTACTTTTTGTTGGAAAATAACTTTTTTCACTTTTTGAATTAAAATTTTTTTTAGGGATTTTGATTGAATTTTCAAACACTTTTTTATTTTTTTACAGCAATTTTTGTTTTTGCAGAAGATTTTTTTTGTTCAAAATTTATTTTTTAATTTGTTTGGTTCACTGAAAAGTTAAATCTGAAAAGAGAACACAGAGGAAAGTGTGCTATTAAATTAGATGTCATAAACATTTACGTTTAAAATAAAATTGTGTATTTCATGAAAATTAAGCCATGATATAGTACAGTTGGCCACACGTCGAAGAGAATAATTCAAAATTATAATTTCAAAGGTGCACTCGAATGCACTTTGTATGAACCTGTAGGTAGATAGGTATTTTATTTTATATATGCATAAGCAGATTACCAAAATTGGAAATGGACAATATGTAACTAACTAAATATAACTTAATTTTGTTGCCCCTTGTCATTAGAGCAAACTCATAAATCATGTAATTGTTTGCCCACACACCCTCTGTTTTTCACATAAATCCATGAAAGACTCATCGTATGTCCGACTGTCATATGTCCCTATATGAAGCTATATAGTTCAACTAGTTTTGTAGGTTCCATTTGGAGACAAAAACGTTGGCGAGTATATTATGAGCTCAGAAAGAAAATTCGCCACAGATAACTTATTTATACCCTACACAACTATATTGTAAGGGTATTATGGCTTTGTGCGGCAAAATATTTTACCTACATCTACCTTTAAGTATACAGATCATCAAATCTCGACTAGCTAGATCTAAACATGTGTGTTCGACCGTCTGTATGTCCATTACTGTTTGTAAACACGTTACAGGCCATTGTTATGGACCATTCGTCACGAAATATTGCATGTAGGACCGATTCTGGTCACGGAAGACCCTATTGTTCTTGGTAATGATCGAATAATATTTATAGGATGAAACTTTATTTTTGTGTGATATTTTGGTCGCTTTAGAGGCCACAATTTTGACCAGAAGCGAAATTTTACGCAGAGAAAGGTGTCTGACCACGGAATAAGAATGACTGTTTTGATTAAGATCCGTTAGAGGGTTAAAACTACCCAGACGTTTGTGTTAAAAATTACAAAAATTTATTTTCTGGGGTGTATATATTTACTCCTGAAGGACATCGACCCGAGTAGTTGATAGCGTATCCAAGAGGAAGTGTTGACCTTTAATTTTAAACCAATTATATTGTTGTATGTAGTCGGATTTGGGAGTTACACATAAATATTTACAAGTGTCTACGTATTCAGATATTTTTTAGTAACTCATGACCGTATTAGAGGAAATATAGCCCTGATCCAGTTACGGTCAAGGACAACGTCTTTAGGTTTCGGCGATGATCGTATAATAGTTTTGGGATGTAATTGACCAAAAACTTATTTTTTTGTGTTTTTTCGAGTCGATCTATAGGCCAAAATTATAAGCCGAACATCACAACAGAACTCACGGTGAAGGGAATCTGGACAAATAATTAGAAGGGCTGTACTGAGTATAAGTAATCTTCGGAAAATATATTAGTGTAAGGAAGCGGAGCTGTCGACCTCTAATAGGGCAAGAAGGTGTATATATCACGAAATTTTGCCTCGGTTCGGAATAACCATACACAGAACGTTAGAGTTCCGTGATAGTTATATAGGGTATCGTATAGACCAGGTCTGACTATACTGCTCGGTTCACTGGTTTAATTTTTTATACCCTTCACCACACCATTGTACAGGGTATTATGTCTTTGTGCATATGTTTTTAATAGGCAAAAGGAATCGAGATAGACCCACGGTTCCTTTTGAGAATATGCATAGAATCACTTTCTGAGTCGATTTATGCATGTCCGTCCGTCTGTCTGTCGATCCATGTATTTTTGTGAACAAAATACAGGTCGCATTTAAGATCCGATTTGGATGAAATTTAGCACACTTCACTTATTTGACCCAAGGACGAACACTATTGAAATTGGAGAAAATCGCTTCAGATTTACATATAGCTCCCGTATATAGTTTCGTCAGATTTTATCGATATGATGCACCAAACTCCCAACATTTGTCCGATTGGGACAAAATTTTACACAGAGTACTGAATTGGGTCCAGACTAATGTCTGCGAAGTTTTGTTAAAATCGGTTAATATTTACATATAGCTCCTACATAGTTTCGTTCGATTTTATGTGAATGACGCACTAAACTCACAATTATTATCCGATTGGGACAAAATTTAGCACAGAGTACTGAATTAGGTCCAGACTAATGTCTGCGAAGTTTTGTTAAAATCGGTTCAGATTTAGATATAGCTTCCATATATAGTTTCGTCCAATTTTATGTGAATGATGCACCAAACTCCCAATATTTGTCCCATTGGGGCCAAATTGTGCACAGCGTAGTAAATTAGGTCCAGACTGATGTCACCGAAGTTTTGTTAAAATCGGTTAAGATTTAGATATAGCTCCCATATATAGTTTCTTCCGATTTTTTGTTAATGATACACCAAACTCCCAATATTTGTCCGATTGAGCAAAATTTAGCATAGCGAATGAAATTGAGGAAAATGTGTTTATATATAGCTCCCATACATAATTTTACTCGATTTCATACAAATGTTACACCAAAGAATCTAAGTCTGCCGGTTTGACATGTATGGGATTTTTTCAATCGGTTCAAATGTCTATCTAGATAGCACATTTGCTTTTTGCCGATTTCACATCACTGGTCCTCCAATGATTTTATGCTTGTTCTATCTGCAGGATATTGTAGATATTAACATATCTTGTATGTACCCAATGTGGTGAAGGGTACCATATAGTCGGCCCGTCCGACTTTTGAACTTTCCTTACTGGTTTAGTTGTGTGCTCAGTATTTACTAGACATAAGAGCGTGGACTTTGCATTTGTTTCTTCAGATACTTTTTTTAATCGACGTGGGGTAGAAAAACTTCTTTCAGCTGATGCTGTGGGTACCGGTATCCTTATTAAGATTTATAACAAGATTAATTTGCATCTCGAAAATTCTTGTTAATCCTTCTAATTCACCAAGCAAAGGAAACATTCTTTGACTTTACCTTGTAAAAAATCGTATATATATATATTCATTCGCTAAAACCGAAAAGAATACAGCATTTCTTCAACAATAGGCTTCTGGATATATTCTCCAATTAGTTCTATCTAATCGTTCTGTATTCTGGGACTCAGATATGTTGCATTTTTTGGTGTACAAAAGCTCATTTTGCTAAATCTGAATATGCGATTCCTGACCCCTCCCTGTGTACGTCCCTGGCTCCAATATATAATTTCGTCCGATTTTATATTAATGATACACCAACCTTCCTTCCGATTGGAACGAAAATTTGCATTCGCGTCTTGCTAAATTTTAGGGAGATCGGTTGAGATTCAGATATAGCTCCCTTATTTGAACAGGTTTTCGCAGTGCCATTTCAATTTTTTTGTTTTTGAACATAGTCATGATTTAGATTAGGCGAGTTTACTTTCGGCAATTCTTATCGTTCTCTTTTGAACTTGCTCCATGCGTCTATACAAGGCAATTCGGTTTCAAAAAATATTTCTTTTTTATTTGTTGCAAATAGTATTTTCTCATTTAAATAAATATAAAATGCCAACAAATACGAAATACAAAAAACGAATTGCCATAAAATTGCCGGTACGAGCAATTCGTTTCCATTTCTATTCCCCTTGTCCCTCTCTCCAACAAACGAAGACTTGCCGCAAGTAAGCTCGCCTAATCTAAATTGGGACATAATTGGTCTTTTCCAGTATTTTTTTTTAAATAGTACAACTAGTAAAAGGGAAACATTTCAAAATCAGCCTCAGAGTACAAAATAACATGCCAACATTATTATTATTATTTTAGGTTCTGGAACGGAACTTATGACTTCGCCCATTAACAGTAATAAAATATTGTAATAAAATATTTATTAAAATCGGTCCATATATCTGTATAGATCACATAATAAATGTCGTCCAATTTTATGATCCTCCAAAGATACTATGTAAGATTAAAGTGGTAAAGGGTATCATATAGTAGGCCTCGTCCGACTTAACTACCTTCCTTGGTGATTTTTTTTACACCCTTCACTACACTGTGGTACAGGGTATTATGTCTTTGTGCATATATTTGTAACAGGCAAAAGGAAACGAGATAGACCTATAGTTCCTTTTGAGAATATGCATAGAATCACTTTCTGAGTCCATTTATGCATGTCCGTCCGTCCGTCAATCTGTCCGTCTGTAGATGTTAAATTGTAAACAAAGTACAGGTCGCATTTATGGTCCGATTTGGATGAAATTTGGCACAAAACACCCATTTTTCCCAAGGACGAACCCTACTGAAATTGGGAAAAATCGGTTCAGTTTTTTATATTGCTTCCATATATATTTTCGTCCGATTTAAGGTAAATGGGGCACCAAAGTCCCTTTATATCTTTCGATTTGCACGAAATTTGGCACAGAGTACTGACTTAGGTGCTGAATGATGTGTGCTAAGTTTCGAGAAAATCGGTTCAGATTTATATATAGCTCCCATATATATTTTCGTCCGATTTAAGGTAAATGGGGCACCAAAGTCCCTCTATATCTTTCGATTTCCACGAAATTTGGCACAGAGTACTGCATTAGGTCCAGAATGATG